TCCACCCCCTAACTTCCCTTAGCTGTCAGCCTCCTCTCTATCTATGAATCTGTCTCTGTTTGCTTGTTATTTCAGTTTGTTCATTTGATTCCCCATGTGAGTGAAATCATATGGTATTTGTCTTTCTCTGATTGGCTTATTTCATTTAGCACAATGTTCTCCAGAATCATCCATACAGAAATATATTCTTAAAGGGCATTTTACAAAATGCCATCTGCTTTACTGTTGAGCATGAACATAGTTGAGGCTCTCATTAACACTAATTCACTATAATTTAAAATGTTGAGAGTCTTTGTCTGAAAACCATGTTTCATTCATTTAGAAGGCAGGAATTCATATGTTCTTACATTCAACTTGGCTCCCATTCTTCTGGGGTGGGATAGCACTCCTGCTAAAACAGGGACAGTGGCTGGTGCCCTCTGTGGATGTGTGACAGTCCTGTGCCTGTGGGCTGCGCCCTTGTGAGATCCAGCCCCGTAGAAGGAGGCAGACAGCAAACACCCACCTTTTTTGTTAAGCATCGATAAAGAGCATAGCAGATGAAGAAAATTTTTTGGTGGTAAGCCTTCTCATTTTCTCATCTAGACTAAGACAGAAGTCTTGCAAAATAGCGCCCTCTGCCCTCATCTTTATTTTCAAATAAGAATGGCAAGCTTGATTGCTAACAGTCTAGTGTTGGCTGAACCAGATCACACAACCAGGTAATTTAGAATTCTCTGGTGAAAGAATTGGAAGTTCATATAGGATTTTAATGAGAGACCCAGTTAACCCACCCACTCTGTATACTTTCTGTCAAAGCTCTAGTCTAGAGTGTCCCTGAACCAATACAGCAAAATTGGGACTCTCGGAGAACACCTGGGACATTGAGATGAGGACAGAAAAACACACAGTGTCCACAGCAGGGTTTTAAAATTTCACTGTTGGAAAACAAACAATGGAAAGTACCTGGCTGGTATCCTACTGTTTAAGACATTGAGGGACTTTGGAGGACATACCACTCAGAGTGATTTTTCTATACTTCAAAAGGAAATGGTTTAATTAATAAAACATAGGGGGGAAATTCCATCTGAAAAGAAGCCTGAACTGGGCCGTTCCACCTACGTGCTATGCTTGCTTTTATATGAGGTAAGCTCTTGAAAATTCTTCTCAAGTCAAAGACAAGAATAGCAGGTCTCCATAATTCTGTAATTGTAGCTAGGTTAGAAGGATTGTTGCAAATGTGACCCTGAGAACCACTCTGGGTCTTTTTATGTCTAACAAAAACAGAAGTCACCAAAAGGACTGATTGCTAACTTCTGACATCCACCTCAGCAGATCACTGTTCTGGCCAGAAACAACACTAATACCTAGTATCTAAGTTGTTTTCTTCCCCTATCTATTCACATGTCCTTTACTGCATTCTCAGGCTTTCAGAGCAACCAGCGGTGATCACTATTCCATGAAGCAGGAAACTTCCATGATTACTCCAGATCCACAATATTGTTTAAACATCAAATTCCAGCAGTCTTTCCTGGAAACCACAAATTCCCAAACTGCTGCCAGCACAATGCTTTTTATTGTTGGCTAGTCCTCTAGGGATTTAATTACTATTCCTTGGTAGAGAGCAGCAGAATTGATTGATCCACTTTCATGATTATCAGCTATGTGGGAGATCTTAGTATTTGCTGGAAACCTCTGGGAGTTGCCAGGGGTTGAAAATAAGAAGCTTTTTTGAGGTCCTTGGGGAAAGAGGTGTGAGGAGAAAATAACATGAATATCCATTATCATAAGCCACTTTCTAGATTTTTAAAGTATATTTTATTGATTATGTTATTACAGTTGTCCCATTTTCCCCCCCTTTATTGCCCTCCTTCCTGCATTCTCCCACCCTCCAGCATCCACCCCCCACCTCCGGCCCTTAGTTCATGTCCATTGGTTGTACACACAAGTTCTTTGCCTTCTCCGTTTCCTATACTATTCTTAACCTTCCCCTGTCTATTTTGTACATACCAAATATGTTTCTTATTCCTTGTACCTTGTTCCCCCATCCCACCCCTCCTCTTCCCCACTGATAACCCTCCATGTGATCTCCATTTCTGTGATTCTGTTCGTGTTCTAGTTGTTTGCTTAGTTTTTGTTTATTTATTTGTTTGTTTTTTAGGTTCAGTTGTTGATAGTTGTGAGTTTGTTGTCATTTTACCATTCATAGTTTTTGATCCTCTATTTATTAGATAAGTCCTTTTAACATTTCATATAGTAAGAGCTTGGTGATGAGGAACTCCTTTAACTTTACTTTATCTGGGAAGCACTTTGTCTGCCCTTCCATTCCAAATGATAGCTTTACTGGATAGAGTAATCTTGGATGTAGGTCCTTGCCTTTCATGACTTTGAATACTTCTTTCCAGCCCCTTCTTGCCTGCAAGGTTTCTTTTGAGAAACCAGCTGACAGCCTTATGGGAACTCCTTTGTAGGCAACTCTCTCTTTTCCTCTTGCTGCTTTTAAGATTCTCTCCTCATCTTTAATCTTGGGTGATGTTAATTATGATGTGACTTGGTGTGTGCCTCCTTGGGTCTAACCTCTTTGGGATTCCCTGGGCTTCCTAGACTTCCTGGAAGTCTGTTTCCTTTGCCATACTGGGGAAGTTCTTCTTCATTACTTTTGCAAATAAGTTTTCAATTTCTTCTCCTTCTGCACCCCTATGATTGGGATGTTGGAACATTTAAAGTTGTCACAGAGGTTCCTAAACCTCTCCTCATTTTTTTGAATTCTTGTTTCTTCATTCTGTTCTGGTTGGATGTTTACTTCTTCCTTCTGCCCCAAATTGTTGATTTGTGTCCTGGTTTCCTTCCCTTCACTGTTGGTTCCCTGTATATTTTCCTTTATTTTACTTTGCATAGCCTTCATTTCTTCCTTCATTTTGCAACCATACTCAACCATTTCTGAGAGCATCCTGATTAGCAGTGTTTCAAACTCTGCATCAGATAAGGTATCTGTCTCCTTGTTGCTTAGTTCTTTTTCCTGGAGTTTTGACCTGTTCTTTCATTTGGGTCATATTTCTTTGTCTCAGTGTATGTGTGATGTTGGAAGGGGCGGAGCCTCAGGTATTTGCCAGGGCATGGCGACCTTCTTCACTGAGTTGTGACACTGTCTGTGGGGGAGGGGTCAGAGAGGGAACAGTGCCACTTACTCAGCTTTCATCCCACTTTCTGTCATATTCCTCACTGCCCACAAGCAGATTGTGCTCTTTCAGATGCTGGTTCACAGGTGGGTGGGTTTGGGTATGTTTTAGGATCCCGTGGTCCTCTCCAACAGACTCTCCTCTGAGACTTGGAGTTACTCCTGTTGCTGCAACCCTCACAGATTTTTTTCAAAGCCAAGGGTTTTGAATCTTCAGTTTCCCCACAGTGGAACTCTGGGTTTCACAGTCTGTCTCGCTCCCTTGCTGTTCTTCCCAGGTTATCTGCGCACGAATGTGGGATTCCCCACCCTGGTCTGCCAGCTGCTGCCTTGCCTCTCTGCCCCCATCTCTGCCCCTCCTACCATTCTGGATGAATGTTTCTTTAACTCCCTGGTGGTTGGACTTCCATGCAGTTTTATTTTCTGGAAGTTCTAGTTGTTGTTTTTAAGTTTGTTGTTATACTTCTTTTGGCTGTGTGAGGAAGCAAAGTGTCTCTGCTATGCCTCCATCTTAACTGGATATATTACTTTCTGGATCTTATCAGGAGTTATAAATGCCCTGAGCATCAATAGTGTAGGAGTCTATGGATGTTCCGTGATAAGCTATAAAGAAAAATCTACAGGGAACCAACAGTGGAGGGGATGAAGCTGGGATTCAAATAAATAATTTGCAACATAAGAAATAAATAAGCATTCAACCAGAATAGCAAGAAGAAAAAAGAATTAAAAAAAATGAGGATAGTATAAGAAGCCTCTGGGAAATCTCCAAATATACCAATATCTGAACCACAGGGATTCCAGTAGGAGAAGAGGAAGAGCAAGAAATTGAAAACTTATTTGAACAAATAATGAAAGAAAACTTCCCTAATTTGACAAAGGAAATGGACATACAGGTCCAGGAAGCACAGAGAGTCCCAAACAAGTTGGAACCAAAGAGGACCACACCAAGAGACATCATATTTAAAATGCCAAAGGTTAAAGATAAAGAAAACATCGTAAAAGCAGTAAGAGAAAAGCAGAGAGTTACCTACAAAGGAGTTCTCATAAGACTGTCAGCTGACTCCTCAGAAGAAACTTTGAAGGCAAGAAGGGACTGGAAAGAAGTATTCAAAGTGATGAAAAGTAAGGACCTACAGTCGAGATTACTCTATCCAGCAAAGCTATCATTTAGAATGGAAGGGCAGATAAAAGACCCAATATATTTTAAAATAAATGGTTAGGAATAGGGTTAATTCATAGCGATTTAGTAAACAGTAATCATTTAAAGATATGTCAAATCAATTCTTAGAAACTACTTAAACCTGAGATTGCATATTTTAGTACTCATTTATTTTCAAATGACCTATGTGTGGATAGATTATTCAGGCTTTAGAGGGAAAAAAAGTGATCTTATTTTTTTGAAACTTCAAGATGACATACCCACAAACAATAATTTTAAAGTCATAAATATTATAAGTTACTCATAATGATAAATGCTATTTATGTACAGGGTCCTTTTTCTTTTATGTTCAAGGTCTGACTTCAGAGATTAATTTTATAGAGGCTTTGAAAATATACAAATGTATAATCAACACAAAAAATCTTGATGTATTTCTAACACATTCCTTATCAGCAGCTGAAACGTTCTTCTGCTTTCCTAAAATTCCAGTCAAAACATCTTTCATGGAGTAGCTGGGTCTGTCTGAACCACGCCATACCTTGCTGAGGACTATGCAAATACAATGAAAGAAACAGGGTACTTCTAGTGTTCTGATGTTTGTCTTTTTCTTACATGTCTACAATTTGTTCTCTTATTTTATATTTGGTTTTGACCAGTTCTCTGCCTTTTTGTACTTGTACTTACTGGAATGCCTGTGAAGGTAACTGGAGGAGACTGCCAAGAGATGCTAAAGCTGCTGCCATTGGGGGCGAACTTGGCCGATCCTGGAATGGTCACAGGGGGTGTGGCCTGTTACATAGAAAACAGAGAAAATTGTTATGAAAGAAAATTTTCCCCCTGAGCCTTAGCTGTTATTAACAAGGTATGGCCTGAGAAATTATCAGCTGTATTAGTATTTTAGACTAATTATCTTATTAGGAAGAGATTATACATGGTCAAAGAGAGTAGCTAGAAATAAACTTTTTATATAAGCAATCTATTTAAGGTATAAAATGAGATGGTTTTTGATCATTGATTTCTGTATTCTAGGACATCTTTGCGATATAATTCCTCACTATCAAATTTGGAAATAAACTTTTATATAGTGATGGTGGGTGTGTAAATTGGTATGACTTTGGGAGGGTAATCTAAGAATATATAAAAATATATAAAAATGAATTCATTCACTTCTTTTAGAATTCATTCTAAAGAAATTACATATATAAAAACTGGAAACACAAATGTCCAGTAATAGTGAAATGTGTAAATAAATCATGATATACCCACAGAGCCATTACAAATGATGTCGTTGAATCCTCATTGGCAAACAAAAACATTCACGATAAATTCAGTGGGAAAACAAAGCATAGTAAAAACAGTGCTAAAATAGATTCCTTAATTTTTTGAAATTGATTTTTAGAGAGAGAGAGGAATATCAATTTGTTGGTTCCACTTATTTATGCGTTCATTGGTTGATTCTTATATGTGCCCTGACTGGGGATTGAACCTGTAACCATGCTGTTTCTGGACAATGCTCTAACCAGCTGGGCTACCTGGCCAAGGTGATTCCTTAACTTTTTATTACATATACACATAGAAAAGTCTTGAAAGATGTACAAAAAATATTAACCAAGGGGCCTTCTTGTTGGGATTAGGGATAAATTTTCTTTCTCCTCTTCTGTTTTTAGTATTTTTTTATTCTTGTTTATTCTATTTCAGTTGTCCCAATTTTTCCCTCTTTGCCCTCCTCTGCCCCACCCCCTCTCCCACAGTCCATCCCCACACCATTGCCCATGTCCACGGGTCATTCATACATGTTCTTTCACTAATCCCCCTTCTTTCCATCACTCCTCCCTCCCCTTCCTTTCTGGCAGCTGTCAGTCTGTCTCATGTTTCCATGTCTCTGTTTTTATGTGTTTTCTATGCTAACATTTATAATATCTATAAACAGAGAAATCCCAATATTATGAATATAGGGTTTAGGAAGCACCTTCTAGATAACCGAGTGTGTGTTGCAACTCATTTTATAGACAAAAAGAATTTTATTAAGTTTGTTCCAGCTCATGATTTTAGGCCTAAATGCAACATTGACAAGAACAAAGGAATAAATAATTCCTTTTGACTAACATAACAAGATTCAGGAATAATATTTATTGTACCATCTAATTTAATAATTAGCTCTATTCCATTGTTCTACTAAATTAGTGGCCAAATTCTACCTCTACAGATTTAGTTTTTCTAATGATAACTATAGTTGCTGATGACAGTAGTTATGTCTCTAGCACCATTGAAAAGTATTTTGGCAAAACTTAGGAGCCATAACTGTTCAGGCTTTAGCCTCTGACTCAGTAATTACTCTTCCATGAATTCAAAGAAAAGAAAAAGCTACTGGCACAGAGATATTCATAGTGAAGTTACTAATGATAGTGAAAAAACTGGACAGACTAAAAAGTAGATACCTAACAGTAAGAGAGTAATGGAAACAATTTGATTGAACTTTTTGATGAAAACAATTCAATTTAACTTTTCCTCCTTGGCTTTAAAAAGAGAAAAAGAAAGAAATGAACTCAGCTACTGGGTTATACGCATTGTGTAATGTTGTTTTTCTATTCATAGATCAGAACATGACTGTTTATGGTCAGGGACAAAGTGTCCTCAGGGTCCCTTACATGTCACCTGGTAAGCACTGGTTGGTGTGCATGAAGTAGAGGCATGGGAAAACACAAGTACAAATACAGGGTAGGGCAAAAGTAGTTTTACAGTTGTGAGTATGCAAAACACAGCTTTTTATTTATTAATTATTGCGTTCTTTGCTATATCAACAACTGTAAATCTACTTTTGTCCCAGCCTGTATATGTAAAGGAGATTTCTTTTTTTATTTTTATTTTTTAAAAGATTGCATTTACTTATTGTTAGAGGGATGGGAGGAAGGGGAGAAAGGAGGGAGAGAAACATGGATGTGTGAGAGAAACATCAACCGGTTGCCTCTCGTATGTCCCCAAATGGAAACCTGGCCCACAACCCAGGTATGTGCCCAGACCAGTAATTGAACCAATGACATTTTAGTTTGCAGGCTGGCACTCAATCCACTGAGCTATACCAGCCAGGGCAGGTTTCTCTTCATTAGGCTACATAAGGTAGTTGAGCATTCTGGGTGGCCCCAAGAATTGACCTGTCTCCCACGTTTCCAGGGGATGGAGACAATGCTGACTTGGGGGAACACTAACATCCATTACTGTAGTCTGAGAGGGTTGCTTGCCAACTCAGAGGCAGGGCATAAAATCCCAGATTTGGGGTAAAAGGCTATTCTGTCACTATACCAAAGCCTTTCAGTGCTCACCTTTCTTTTCTCTTTATTTAACTTATAGCATATGTCAGGCATCTTTCTGAGGCCTTTACACTGTTAAATATTGTAATCCTCATAACTGCCTCTAAGGGATATCCAGTCAGTCACAGGGAGTCCAAGAACCCAGAGGGTCCACTCTGTGAGATCTTGGCTTTAAAAGGAGAAAAAGAATGAAACAAACTCAGATACTGGGTTACAATGTGTAATGTTGCTTTTCTATTCCCAGGGGAGAATGTGACTGCTTCTGGTCAGGGGCAAAGAGCCACTCAGGATCCCTGGCACATCACCTGGTAAGCGTGGTCGGTATGCACGAGGTAGAGGGTGGTGGGGGCTGAGCGGCTCAAGGGCGTCATCAGTTTAGTCTCAGTTTTGGCACAAGGGGTTTCTGTTCGGCTTGAATCCGGGATGGGGAAGGTAGGTGGCGAAGCAAGGGACTGGGAGGGCGAAGCCAGGGCTAGGCTACCCAGTCCATCTGCCATTGAGTCTGTGTTGAGCTTGATCTCCGTGTAATAGAAGTCCTCTTCACCATCACTATAATCGGAGTCCCCAACACGCCTAATGCAAAGGACAGCAAAACAGTCAGACTAAACCATTTTGCACATGCTGTTCCCTCTGTCTGGAAGGCTTTTCCTTTCTCTTGTCTACCTGGAAAATTCTTACTCATCCTGCAACACTCAAAAAAAAAAAAAAAAAAAAAAAAACAAAAAAAAACAACTGTCCACTTCCAGGGAAGACCTCCTTGGCCTCTTAGAGCAATTTGTTTAACCAACCAACCACCTATTCAACAATTTATTGAGAGTCTACTATGTGTCGGCACATTGCTAGGGTCTCCTAATAGCATAATGACCAAATCATTGATGGACTCTCTCCTGATGAAAATTACATCTACTGGGAGAGGCAGACAAGGAACCCATAAATAAGTAGATATTTAATGTACCAGATAGTAATAAATCCCAGAAAGAAAAATTAAGCAGTATGAGAGTGTCCTTAAGCAGGGTAAGTGATGGAGGAGGGGGTGTATTTTAAACCAAGGTTAGAGGGAGCCTCTCTGAAGAGGTGATTTGAGCAGAGACCTGGATGAGGTGAGGGGGAACACATGCCAGACGGCAGGAAGAGTGCACAGTGGGAAGCAGCAAAGGCCAGGGATGGGGTGTCTTGGTGTCTCCGAGAAGGGCAGCGACCAGTGGCTGGGGCGAGGGGCAGCAGCGAGAGAGTGGTGGGAGAAGAGGGGGCAGAGGCGTAGTCACAGAGGGCTTTGCCGCCCATGGGAAGTGCTTTGCATTGTATTCTTAATGTGATGAAAGCCGCTGGGGCTTCGAGGAATCCCAGTGACTTCTTAAATGGATCCCTCAACATCGATGACCCAGATGAGCGCTGACAGTGGCTGGGGGGTAGGGTGTTGGAAGTGATGAGAAGTCAAGTTTTGGATGTACGTTGAAGGTTAGGATTAGCACTTCACTCCTGAGTGTTAGATCCTCCATACTCTCTGTGAAGGGTATTCATTTTATTTAATTCACTTTATTAAATTACTTCATACATTTCTGTAAACGTTTTAACCTCTATTGCCTCCTTACGACATTCTTTAGGGCAGTGTGTTGCTGCTCATCCTCCTGAGGCTCCACATATATCAGCGTATCTGGCATACAGTAGGTGCCTATTCACTGTTGAATGGATGAATGAGGCTGATGCTGTTTGGCACGGTGACGACGAGCATGAATTCTGGAGTCAGGTGTCCCAGGTTCGAATCCTGTGCCACAGAGCTGTGTGTGAGGTTCTCACTGAGGAAACGGGGTAACACAGTGCCTGCTGGTGATGAGGGCTAAGCAAATAACTAGACAGCGCAGAGAAGTGTTCCTGACTCATGAGAAGAACACGGTGCTCACAAAATCAGAATGAGGTCCATGTCAGAAGGCAGAAAAGTGTCCTCTGCTTTCAAAGCTCTCCCTGAGTCATGGTAGTTTTTCACAGCAAGTTTTGAGTAAATTAAAATAACTGTCCAAACCGTAGAAAACATTTATTCCAAGTGTTAGTTTCTAAAGAAGCGGTGTGTATCTAGCAACCTGGCTTTACGGGATGGCTGAGCAAGGGCTGCATATCTCCCTCCCATGGGATCTCCTGCATTTCATGGACAGATCACTGATTTGCAATAAACTGTTTCCCACTTACAATCCCTTCAGAGAACCTAGAATTAAAAAACCCCTTTTCTCAACCTTTCTTTGGCCAAATCCGTGGCTTCTCTCAGCCCTGGTCGATGTCCGCTACTCAGGCTGAGCATCTGGGGAGGTGTCTGTGCAGTCTGGGTGGCCGTGGTTTTCGGACAGCATCCCATGGAAGACCCCAGAGAGTGGGATGAAGAATGTTCGTCTGCCTGTTCCATTCCTGTCCCCATTTTCTTTCCAGTCAAGGGCAGGCCGAGTTGCTACTGGTTGCTGCCGAGTCCTACACACAGGCTGGGGAAGATGGTGCATCCACCTGGGGATAAGTCAGGATGAGCCCCGGAACACAAGAACAGAGTGACGGTTCAGAGAAAAACGATACTTTCTACACTGGCAGGTGTGTACTGCATGACTCAGATGAAGACGTAGTTTCTTTGGGCTTTGGTGTCCACAACCAACACACATTAAATATGTCCCATTGTCCTATAGTCACAAAATTGAGCTCATGGGCTAAGGCAAAGGCGATTCCTCTCTCTCATTTGAGAATTCCTGCAAACCCAGGCCCATTTCTGGGAGTACTGGCAGGCTGTGAACCCAAATCCCCAAGGCCATTTAGAGCACCGAGTAAAAGTGAACCCCACGGAGCAAGTACAGTGACTGCACTGTGAACTCCACCCAGGGGGAGAGCACCCAGGAACTCAAAGGAAACTGCATGGTGCCACTTAGTCTACAGACATGAATATAGCACCGGCTTCTGCATGATGCTGAACAGGGTTCAATTTTCCGGGCAAGTAGACTTGCAAACAAACACCCTGCCTCCTGATTGTATCTTTCAGAGATTCTCTAGACCTTTAAATAATGCTGAGCTACTTCCATTGTGGATCATCCTGATGATGAGGTTAGAGGGGAGACACCGCAGGATTTCTTTCCCAGTCTTCGGTTACAGAAATGGGGTGTCTGCCCACAGTGCTTCAGGGCAGACCCTCTGGCGAGGAGAGCAGAAGCCCAGCCTTGCTGGGCCACACTCGCCAGGTGATCTGCTTGGTGACCTCTATGCTGTGCTCTGGGAGGAACTGACTGTGTCCCTAGATATCAGCCCCACAGATTGGGGATGAGGTTCCGCCTTCTCTCCAGTCATCGAAGGACACCACCCCTGCAGGTCAGCAAAATAACCTTAGAACCCACTTTTATTTTCTTTTTATAACACTTTTATGGGTGATGCATTTCCCAAAATTATTCCTTGCTGAGCAAAGTGATTGTAGTGTCTATTTCTCAAAACTCATCTTGTTGAAAGATCTCCTTTGTGTGTACAAGCATTTGGGGGCTTGGGCATGCATTTGAGCTTGCTGTCTGCACACTGGTCATGACTTACAGCTTCTCAAGGTCCTTCTTTAGTCCCAGATCCCTGGACAAGAGAGATCCAGAGCCCAAAGGACAAGGCTGGGGAGCCATCACTGCCCCTGGGATGGACTCTCACCATTGTGGCTCCCAAAGCTTTGTCTTGTCTCTCCTTAGAAAGGTTTTTATATAACACAAGGAAAGGTGTAGAAAATGATAGAGCCAAGGCCTCAGGCATTGTAACAATAGGAAGAGCAGCTGTGATTGACACAGCTGTGCTTAAACCCTTTTTAGGCTCTATATGCCTCTGAGGGGAAAAATGCACATTTAAGTTTACAGACAATTTCAGAGGGGTCCTACCCTACACTGGTGTTATTCTTTTTATAAATCACTCTCACCTTGTTTTATTTTTGACCTTCACATGTGACCCCCTTGCAGGGTAAATTATATTATTAACCTCATCTTCAGAGGGAACTGAGTCTCAGAGCAGTGACTCACCTAACATCACTCCGTAAAGAAAAACTTTGCACCCACGATCTTCCCACCATGTGGTTGGGGCCTCTTATCTGCAGTGATTAGGAAGACCCAGCAAGCCAGGCCCTCTCTGTGAATAGAACTTTTAAAGCACAGCTTGGTGGGTCCTGCCTGGGAGCAGGCACTAGAGAAGTCCACACCAAGCTTTGAAGGGAGGGTGGCCTCACCCGAGGTGAATGGTCCGGATGTGTTTCTGGATCCCTGCTGCGGTACTCAGCACCTTCCCACAGTTTTTCCAGAGGCATTTGAACACCACCTTCATGGAGTTCTAGAAAGGGGAGAAGTCAAGTTACATTAAAATGAAAACGAACATATCAAAATACTGCCTTTGTCTCGTCTTAACACAATTTTTTCCTTCCTTTCATTCAAAACATTTAATGACTGCACAACATTAATGGATAAATCTTCACACTATGAGTGTTTTCTGCCCATTTTTCAAATAATGAAGCTGTGCTATTCAAAACTCAAACTTCTCTGTGCCATGGAGGTTGACCTTGTGTATCAGTGGGCCCCTTGCCTGTGGGTCTCAAGTTGGGGTTGGCCCCGGAGAGACAGGAGGCTATGGACTCCCCCAGTTTCCTTTCTGTCTGGTCACAGGTGGGCAGTGGCCACATTTCTCCTCTGAAAACTACCACTTCTGTTGGTATTTCCAGAGTTTTGGTAACCCTCTGAATTCTGGAAACCCCTCTCTTTACTCATCTCTTGAGGCTTGGGGTGGAACAGCCTTGCTCTGTGGTTAGCCTCTGGGATACCACACCACCCCCTCTGGGTTTCCCCCAACCCTGTCTACACTTTTGTAAAGAGCCTCTTCATCAAAATATTTTAAATTCTCCCTCTGAGTACATCACTTCCTTCCTGCCAGGACCTAATGGATACAGAAGAAACTAGGCTATAAAAGAAAATGAACATACTTTTTTTGTGTGGGGGGGGAAGGTGTGTAATGCAAATAAACATGTATTCTTGCACACTGGAAACACTGGGGAGGGGTATCTTATCTTTATATTAACTTCTAAATGTAAAAATAACCTTATTTTTAATTTTTTAAAAAGCTATTTCTCTAAAAATGGAAGTCATCCTATAATACATGCATGATTAGCTTAACTTGAATCAAAGGTCTTCTCTGTATATAGGTGAAGATGTTCTGCGTCAAACCAAGAGGCCCCTTAAGTGGTAGTGGAGTACTTGTCAAAGTACCCTCACTACGTCCAATGAGAACAAGTCCTTGTCTACAAACAGCCAACTGGCTTTTGCTGTGAGAGGAGGTGACAGGAGAAAACAGCTAAGTAAACAATGCTGGGCTTGCCACACAGGCCCAAGACTGTCCCAGGAAGCCAAACCAAGTGCAGGTGCTGGCAGTCACAGCCGCCAAGTCTGAGTGCGACCATCTGTGATTCGGTCTTGGCTTCTGAAAGGTCGACCTAAGTTCATGAGGCTGAAGGTCTTGGAGCGGGAGGCCACTGTCACTGGGGTCACCCTGTGCTAGGGTCTTCCACCTGTATGTCTGATCTGACCCTCACAGCCACGCCAGGGGCAGCCGAAGCTCCCAGCAACAATGAGCAGATACCCAGTGTATGGTTCCAGGCAAGCTCTGCAGAATCACCCAGCTTCAGTGTTGTGGCTCAGGATGGCAAGGGACAGCTGCCTGGCGGCTCTCCACTTTTGGAGAAGCTTCTGGACCGTCTCTGACGCCAACTGCCTTGGGGCTAGAGGCTGAGGTCCTAGCCCAGGATGCCCTCACCATTTCTCTCACGGCGAGCCTTGGTCCTTGTGTGAATGTCTGCCTCCTTAGGATTTATGAAGTAGCTTCTACTTTTTCTGACAGAACCCAGACTAATACACAAGACTGACAAAACAACTGCTGAAGGTCACCTTCAATTCTAAAGAGGGAGACATGGCTACTTTTTGAAGTATCATACTCAGGCCTTAGAATAAGTCCAATTGAAGTTATATTACAGAACTCACCTTACCAGTTTACCACATAACAGCCTGGGGTTAATACCAAGTGTCCTTTTCTGAGGCAACTGAGAAGATCCTAAAGTATGTCTTACACAGCAATTAGGGCGTATGTGTATGTGTACATGTGTGCATATGTGTGTAGGTGTGTGTGTGTGTGTGTGTGTTGGGGGTGGAGCCTCATCCACCCAAGCCGACCGAGAGGACGAGGGTCCTTGAAGGGAGCATTTAGTTATGCTGCACAGGTGGGTTTGCTGCACTATACATGGTCCTCAACCGGCCTCATGGGGGAGGAACCCACACTGCTTGGCAGAGGCTTCAACAACCCACTCAGGATCAAGAGGTCCGCGCAGACCCTTAGCAGGTCCCAAAAGACTGAGAAATGAATCGATGTATTTCAAAAACCATAACTGCCTAGAAGCTGGCTGGGGTTCCAGTCCTTTCCTTTATTGGGAAAGCAGCCTTATATGTGACATTTCACCACTTTGGGGCTTTATTTCTTTATTTGTAAAATAGGAAAACTGAAAAAGATGAGTATTTTGGGTCTGTGAAGTATGTGAGGTTAATGCAAAGTGATGGGTGAGTTTAAATGTAGACCAAGCATTGATGAAACATATCCCATAGACATCACTGTGTACAGATGTTGTGGTGATAAGTAAAATAAAAAAAAGAAGGATTTTCATAAATGGTGTCTGGCTTCTTTACCTCAGCACAATGACTTCGAGCTTCACCCATTGTTTCGTGTATTGGTGGTTTGTTCCTGTCCATTGTGTTGTGATATTCCTTGAAGGAACGTACCACAATTTGTTTATCCATTTCCTTGTTTATGGACATTTGGGTTGTTTCTAGTTTGGGGTGATAATGAATAAAACTGCTATGAACATTTGTCTACAAGTTTTTCTATGGACACAGGTTTTCTTATCTCTTGGGTAAATATTCTATGAGTGAAATTTTTGGGTCAGTCAGATGATAAATGTAGATTTAACTTTTTAAGAAACTGACAAACTGTTTTACAAAGTGGTTGCATCATTTTACATTCCAACCAGCAATGCACGGGAGTCCCTGTTACCAACACTTGGAATTTTGTACACCCAAAATCACATGCTATATTATTCCATTTAGTGTAAGTTCCACAACATGCAAAATTCATCCATTGTCAGCTCAGGGGTTGCCTGTTTGTAGGGTGCAAGGGGGTGTCTGACCAGAGAGGGTCACGCGTAGTGCTGGCCTGGATTAGAGTGGTCATTATGCAGGTGTAGAAACTTGCCAAAACTTGCTGAACCATACACTTAAAATAGGTTCATTTTATTGTGTGGAAATTATGCCTAAATAAAGTTGATTCTGAATGCCTTCTGTAACAACAATAAAGCGTCCCTGAATTAATACAAATCCATAATGATTATGTGTTTTCTCAATCAGTGGATTCTAAGAGCGCCTCTTATCTTTGGGGATTTCTGTCCGTCTAAAGACATCATCAAACATCCCGCAATATGGAGAAGTTGACCCTGGGCTGGGTGACTTCTGAAGTCCTCCAGATGCTCCGATCCCATATACTGCTCAGGTGGCAGATTATTCTACAGTGCTGCCACTAAGTTGCTTAGATTTCAGTCTTTACCCTGATCCTCCCTTGCTCTGGCTGGCTGTGCGGTGTCATTGCTGTGGCATCCACTCAGTGTGACCCAAGCTGCTTTCTTAGCACTGCCCTCCCCACATCGTGCCTGATAGGCCTGTTTCTGGAGCAGCAGATTTTCCTGCACAAGGCTGTGCTCAGGGGTGCGTTAGGAATGAAGTCAGCACTGAGATTAATACGTGCTAGTATATTAGGGCCTCAAGGGTCTAATGGCTTTTCAGAACAGTCATTCGCAATTTAGAGTGTGTGACTTCTTTCTGGGACTGAAAGGCTGAGACAGCGATTAGTTCATTGTTTACTCCTAAATAACTGTTACGTTAACTTGACACTTTCTCCTGTGACTTGAGCATCTCCCAAATCCACAGGTAAAGTGGTCCATGGTCCAGACTCCTGTGAAAGAGGTGAAAATGATGAAGCCTGGAAGTCGGTGACTGCCTCTGAGTTGCTACGCATGTTCTAAAAGGCAGAGTCCTGAGCCAGGTTTCCTCTTATGGCCTCAATTTCTGCCTTCATCCCTCACTGGATTGTGGGCTGGGATCTCCATTAACTTGAAATAAAGCCAAGGTGGCTGAGGGGCCCAGGGTGTCCTGAAATGGTCAAGATGGGGTCAGGTTAGAGGGTGGAGGCAAGCACCCTCCTTCTCTCCACATCCACACTTCTCACATTTCCATTCAGTTTGTTGTCAATGCAAAATATGAGCAGCCAGCATTTACTGCTCATAGAACCCTCACAGAAACCCCACCTTTTTGGTGTTGTCATTACCTATACTTTACAGACGAGGAAACAGAGGCTAAAAGAAGTGAAGTGACTTGCTTAAGGTCATGTAAGTATTGGAGCTGGGGTGCTAATTCCCAAGCACGAACTGTTTGATTCTTTTAAGGAATGGGCAAATCTGGAATCTGAGATGGAGAAAAAGCATATTAATAGTTAGTTATCAGCACATCCTGATTTTTCCAGAGATCCCTTGGAATTGGTCCATAGAATGTTTCTTCCCGACTCCTGGAGTGGCTGTATGTAGGGTCACTGCATCCTCTGTGGCCATGACAGGGACTGCACCTTCCCACAGTCCCAGCATCCTGCTCACACTACCAGGGAAGTCCCTTCAGTCTGTCTGAAACTCCAGAGGAAAAATCCTGCTAGCACTGGCCTGGATGCAGTTGGTTAGCTGATCTCCAGAGCCTGGAAAAAGCCTTTCATTCTCCCTTCTTGCATTCCCACCTACCTTGGCTGAAGGTCATTTTGAGTGATGGGTGTCTCATGCAGAAAGTCAGGCCCCTGCAGACAGCCTGCAGTCCCCCTTGCTCCCATCGTTTCTTCCCCAACCCTCTGCACCCTCCTCCCACCCTGCATGGTAATGTCTGATGCTGCCTCTGGTTATTTTCTCGCCACATGAGTCTCCTCTGCAGGCAGAGGCAAATGTGGATGCTTTGAATTAATTTGCCTCGAGTTTCCTCTTTGCAATTTCAGCCGAGCTGATCTTACCTCTGCCACATTAAGAACTACAGGACCTTGGGCAAGTCACCTAACCTCAATGAGTCTCTTCTGCAAAATGAGGATGTGAATATGCCAAGGATTTTTGTGATGATTAAATGAAATGCTGCATTTAAATACATTTTGTAAACTGTAACTAAGTATGCAAATATAGTTATTATCAGCAAGTGTTTCTTCTTCACTACCTATAGTAAGAGATGGTGTCATGTCTAGGGGCATCTCACACTCTCTTCCCTTTTACATAAGTGGAACACGGGTCACGGAGGAGGTAGGTGAGGTGTCCATGTGGGGGTGCACAGGAGAGATGAGAGCTTCTATAGCCAGGAGGAGAATCAAGATCACAGCTTGATCATCACATCTAGGGAATGCCGCCTCTCCTTTGTTAAGTGGCCCTAAAATGTCTATTACAAGGTTGCTTTGTTCTGGTTGGTTTAGAAAGGGCTTATAAACCCTTTTTATTTATGGTCACTTTGAATCTTCATGGTTGCCCTAAGAGAGAGTTGATAATACCTTTTTGTGTTATAGATGAAGAAGCTGATGATCAGAGAAGGTAAATGATTTTCTAAAGTGTGCAGTGTCGCAAAGTTGATTTGAGAATGGGGCTCTTTGGATTTCTGATCAGGGCCCCTACCTTTCTCACAGAGTATGTTATCTCTTTATGATACAGAACAGAATTTTTGCCCATGAACCACAGTAAGAGATCCTCTACGCACAGTATACGCATGAGTGTGCAAATGAAACAAAAGCACTGAGAAACAATACTCTGATCGTGTACAACAAACATATTCTGTCCAGTTCATTAATGAAGCCACATCTGATGATGACCAGGGCCACACACTCAGATGACCCCAGAGAGAAAGTATATGCAGCCTGAATGAAGCAAAAGGATGACCCTTAAGTTTCCCATGGCTGTTTTGCCTGAAGGTTCCCACTGATACAAGTGCCAGCTATCTCTTTGTTTTCCTCTTTGAAATAAATTGGAAAAAAAAAAAAGGTTGCATTGCAATTCTCAGGGGTTTGCTTTGTATTTTTGTTAGTGAATAGTCATTCACAGTGAAGCTACCAATGATAATTTAAAAGACCAACATATAGAGTAACAGCTTCACATTGACATGGTCATTTAAAAAATAATGTTAAAATGTTTCCTAGATATAGCTGTAGATTGCTTTATTCTATGAAGTATGCTTTAAAAAGCATAAAATGCTTTTGAAAAATTGTGGATAGGCATGAATATAAATAATACATGAAGAAAATGAAAAGAATATGAGCTTTAGGTTCAGGCAGACCTAGGTCTGAATGACAGGTCTGGCCTTCCTAACCTGCAGGACAGGGTAACTTCAAAATCTTATCTTCTAGATCCTCAGTCACCTCATATCAAGTGGGGAAAATGACACTTACCAGACAGGACAGCTGTAAGGAGTAAATAAACGTGTAATCAGCATGTTAAATCAACTCATTAGAGCTCCTTTTTTTGCTTTCAGTTTAGTGAAATACAATTTCTGGTCTGTGAGTACTACATATATTTATGCGACAGCTTTCATGTATATTTCACATCTGGTTTCCTAAAAATAAGCTCTTTGCTCTTTGAGCAAAAGAGCATATCTTTTCAATATGCTCTTTGAAGCAGAAGAGAGAAAAGGATATTAGTTTTATTTTACAGGTGAAAAAAATGAAGTCCCAGGAATAGAGTGAGTTAAGTATCAAACCAAGGTTGATGTCCACATGTGTAGCTTTCAAACTCTTTTAAAGCTGGGGCACCTATGTCAACTCTGACACCAGGCAGCCACTTAACCCAGAGGGGCTGGTGGGGGTGGGAATAACACGTCTTGCAAGACACGTGTCCACACTTACTGGCTCTGTCTCTGACCAGGACACTGGATTTATTCTGCACCTTCAAAGACCAGGAGCAGGGAGCAGAGGCTGACCTTTCTTTTCCTGGGGATGGGCTCGTCGAAGAGCAGGTTGCCGGCCTCAGCCTCGTCGATGCCGTCGTCGGGCGCGGGGCTGCGGAAGGGCTTGGCGCTGTCAGCAGACAGCGGCGGCGAAGGGGTGGACGGGTTGGACTGGTCGCTGGGGGCACTCCAGCTCCAATAGCCGCTGCCGCAGCTGCTGGACGGGGCGCCGCCCTCCTTCCAGGATCCGCTGAGGCCCTCTGCGAGCCAGACAACCAGCGTCAGCGCGCACGCGCGGCCGGAGTGCAGAGGCAGGGAACGCGCGCCGGGACAGACCTGGACCCTGCAAAGCACTTGCAGCCCACCCGGAAATGTGCAGCTGCTGGGGGTGCAGTATGCAAACCTCGGGAAAAAAAGTTGCATTATCCTTTATAAACCCTGAGCTATTTTAATCACATAACGTTTTTTTCTAAGTTTTCTGATGTGGGTCGGTTAGTGCAACAGTGGTTCCTTAGGGGGACAGTGGAGATGATATGAAAACAAGAAAGAAAAAGATGTCCTAGTTCACTAAGTTTGGGGAGCTCTGAGTTTATTGATGGTGTTTCTAAGAGAAAATCATTTACAATATTATCACCCTCCCCCCACCTCTGTTTTAACTTTTTAAAAGGAATTTCTCATAGGTCTGTGATCTTTGGAATAGGTTTATGAAAAAAGTTAGTCCAAGATTTAAGAATCTAAGAGAAATAATAATTTCCAGATAGTTAGTTACCTAAAGCCATTGACCCTATTATAAGAAATAATAGTGTTTTACATTGGGTGTTTCCCATCTCACAAAGCTCATTCACACAATCTCATTTGTTCTCACATCTGTCTCTCAGAGCAAGGACTGTCATGGGGGTTTTACAGACAAGGACCTGAGTCACCAGGAACTTAAGTGACTTGCCACGTAACCAGTATGTGAACGTGGGCCCAAACCATTGCCTACCAGTTGGTCTCCTTTGTCTGTTAGTGCATGTGGGTCCTGTATTGCAGGAATCCTCCTCTCTTTCTAACAAAGCTGAGATTGGAGATAATTACTGATAAGATGGCTGTTGAATTTTACCTTTCCCCTTGTGTGGGAAACATGAAGTGTTTGCTAATAGGGAGAAAGCTTTGTCCCATTAGAATGCCTTTGGGGAGGCTCTTTTAACCGTTAAAGATTTGTTTTATCTTGTAAGATGCCTGATTTTAATTATCTTTTGTACAAACTTGACTTTCTTTTTGGATAATTTCTCTTACATATTTATGTGCATTTTGAATATATTAAAACTATATTCTCAGTACAAGGATGCAAAATCCCAAAATACCTCATAAAAAAAATGCTGTTCACATCTGTGTAATTAGTAATGAGATGAGGACACACTGTAGACATTCATAGAAAAATGTCTTGACTACCTTCACCCAATTATAGATTTCCAGCACATTCCTCAAGTAAGTCAAGCAAAAGTTCAGTTAGAAGAATGAAGTTTTAAGTTGAAACAGCAGAAGAAAGTTACCCATCTCATTAAAGCAAGGCTCTAACTGAATCAAATGGTCATATCTACAGGATCATGCCTTTCTGGCACCAAGAAAACCAAATTAGCATCTCACACAGATACACTGACCAGACCCCAGTGACCCTTTATAAATGAGAAAGCCCCATTCAATACAAAATGACCTCAGGAGGAGCCTAATGGAAGGCCTGAGGTGATATTACCTGGTTTGACAAACTCTTCAGCAGGCTCAGGAGGCTTATTAATACAGCACAGCATACACTTGCAAAATAAAATAATCTTGTGGTGCTAGCTGTGTAACCATGTTAAGTATGAAGAACTGAGTTTACTTTGAAAAGCAACAATTTATTTTGAAAAGCAGTGTGGTTGCATTACTTCATGTCAGTTCCCAGAGTTAATTTGCTTACTTGGGAATGATATTTCCTTTAAGAAACATTATTTAATGAGAAGGGTAATGTGATATATAAATGAACTTTTCAGAAAAAAGCCAGAACCAATTTGTAATTTTTCTTTTTTAGAGAGTAGTGTCTCTTTATCTTAAAAAAATATTTGGCAAAAATGCAGGCAAGACCTGCCAGAAATCTCACCCTCTTTGCAGCCCACTTCCTGACAAAATGATCCTTTTCTGCCACAAAAAGGATCACAATAGTTTTCAAAAATATACAATCATTCTGGACATAATATTTGTTTCTTAAAAATCCAATGCCTTCATTATCATTATTACCATTAACTGCTTTCCCTTGTTAAGAATTTGCTACCTGTTGCAGACTTAATGAAATATCAGACAATTTGGGATTATTGGTTGGGTAGTTATTTTTAAAAATCATAATGAACACTGAATTATTTTCTTTATAACTATGCTAACAGAAGTTTACATTGAAGAAGTAAAAGGTTTATTTTCATTCTAACCTTTCAAGGTAAAAAGGAACATTAAAAATGTTCTCAGTTAAAAGAGAACGCCATGTTAAAAATAATGGTTGCATAAAAATACTCTTTCTTCTCTGAGGGTTCTATGAAATCCTGCAATTCCATTTTTGTTTTAAAGCAATGAAAAGCTACAATTTATTTGCATTTGGTGGCCCAGCTTGTGGCAAAGTAAATACTTCCTTGCAACACCTAAGAATTTTTTTCTCTATTAACTTTTCAGTCTTTTATGTAATTCCTTTAGCTAGGATTGGTTTTGGGGGTATTTTCAGTTTTGCTTTAACTGCATACTTTATTTGGTGACATAGCTACACTGAGCAGACTAATTAGGACGCTTGTTAAAGGGGCCCTGAGAAGAAAAGCCCTGTCATTCCACAGCATTGGTCAGGCTCCCCTCACAATCGCCTCATCCACTCTATGTAATGAGGTGGCCTCACCCCGATTTGTGGTGGTCATGACAGGGGGCGGGCACGACTCATTTATGGTATTGATTTGACTTCTCAGCACCTTGATCGTTCTTTGTACCTACAGCTGGAATGGCATATGTTTTGGTGAGGATTCACTGGATATTTAATAAATTTATTTTCACACCTAATGCTTACTACCAAATTATGCGTGAACCATACCTCATTCTCATAACTGACTAGGCTGGCTTTTGAAAGATGGTGTTCCGTTGCTGGTAACGTTCACTCTGTGGTCTCAGTGTGTTACATTTCAGTCAGCTGCAGTCTGATTTCTGCCCACAGGTGGTCCACCGTGAATGCTCTGGTCAGATTTCCAGGGACCTTCATCTGGATACAGAATTCAGTCTGTTTCATGGTTGAGCTTCTGAAGCATCAGATGTCTCTCCTTGAAACACACATCTAATGCTTGGCTTCCATGAAATTGCCCTCTCCTAGCTCTCTTCTACCTCTGTCATCCTCAGGCTCTTCCTGGGTCCTTTCCCCTCTGCTGATCTCTTAAGTGACGGCAGGCTTCGCCCCTCCCCCCTCAGTTCCCTCCTTGTCTTTGCTCAGTGCCTCTCTCTATACAACTCTCTCAGGGAGATCCCATCTACTCTCACGCCTTCAAAATGCACCTTTCATTTCTGCCTGGCCAGCTCAGATCTCCCCAGACACCATCTCTTGAATGAGCCTCAGTCTCGCCCACTAAACATGTTTCCAGCTGAATCTATTGTCTTCTTCAGCGACCCCAGCTCTTGTCCCAAACAGTTACCAATAGATGTGCTCCTCTGCTTTTGTTCCCATCTTAGGGGATGGGTCTCCGTGCTGAAGTATATCGACGGCCTCGAAGTCACCCTCTCACTCCCTCTCTTTTATCCTCCTTGTCCCTCACTGAGTCCTGTTGATTCTACCTTCCTTCTTTCTCAGTTATGTCCTATCTGTCCCCTCTGTGACCATCAAGGATCAGGACACCCATATTTTTTTGGTTCTTTTTTGGTTTTGCCTGTTAACTCAATTGTTACTTTCCAGTGCCAATCACTTAAAAGCTGTGCTGCAGCCTCAGATTAATGTCCACACTCCTAGCCAGGCCTCCAACAGCATCTCCTACTGCCCTCCTGATGTCTCATAGTGAATTACATGAGTCCATGTTATGTCATCACCAAGATAGTAGATCCAGACTCAGGAAGACATAGAAGAGAATTTCAGCTTTGCTATCTACATGTCAATTAATCCCCATGTGTCTCAGTTTACTCACCTGTAAAAGAGAGATCATGACATCTCACAGGGTTGTGAGAGTTACATGAGGTAAAGCAAACCTAGTGCTTGTCATGTAGTAAGTGTTCAGTAAATGCTAGCCATTGGTATGGCGATGATTGAGAGTCTTTTTCCCCCTAGAGACTGAACACTAAGTGGGAGTATAGACATTGTTTTCAATGATGTACTCAAGCCATCTAGCATGATGCCTAATAAATATATATTGAGTGAAGGAACAGAATAAATAATTGTATTTGACTGGGGAGTCTGGGATAATGCTTTTTCAAAATATTTAATTTTCAGAGTTTTTTAAATCCAACTACCTCTCTGATTGAACAGAAAAAATGCTGGGAAAATCACTTCATTAAACCAATCTCTATTTACTTGGGGAAAGGGACAAAGTACTGCAGGTAACTGTCCTGACAAGGCGATGTGCGTGGAACAGATGGAGGGATGGGTGAGGTGCCCTGGAGTCTCCATTTCTCTCACATTTCCCCTGGCTTCTTGATCATGGCAAGGATTGATTGTTCATTTCATTTGATAGGCATGAGACCCCTAGGAGGCCTCTCAAAGGGAGGCTGTGCTCTTGGTGCCCAGCGGCCCATCCCTATGCCCGTCCCCCTGCTCACCATTCGGCCGCACAGGAGGACTTCGAACCAAAGGGCTGGTGGACAGGCTTGTTAGTACCATTGCTGCTGTCACTTTGTCCATGTCCAGTTCCTCTGAGGATTTCCTGGAAAACAGGGAGGGACACTGTTCACTCTGCATGGACTGTGGGCCATGCCATGTATCATCACACACTACCACACACATACACTCCCTGAACTTACCCCTTTGAAAATCCAATGTTTGGTTAGCTTTACTGTAGTGATAAGGAAGCTGAAGTCCAGTGGTTAAGTGATCCCATCAAAACCCTACAGTATTAGGAAGAGAAGGATTCGTCCATTTGAAGAAGGACCCGATCAGTATGAGAAGGGGGCAGAGCTGGACATGGGGGTTCTGGGGGACAGGGGAAAGGTTCCAACTTTATTTAAGTAGAACAGGAAGTCACTAGAGGGACTTAAGTAGGCCTAGTGACACAATGAGATTCATATTTTTAAAGATAATTACCGAGCTGCTTTTTGGAGAATAGATTGTGGGAAGGTGAGAAGAGGCAGGGAGGCCAGGGAGGGGAGAATTGCTAGGACCCAAGACAAGAGGAAATGGTGGCAAGGACGAGGGTCAGGGCAGCAGCAGGGGACCTGGCAGACTGGCTGGGGCACTGACTGTGAGACGAGTGAAAGGGGTGACTCAGGATGGCTCCCGGGTGTTTGGTGTGAATGTTTACTGGGCCATTCGCTGAGACAGAAGAGAGACGAGGGGAAACCCAGAGAGCTGCTTTGCTGCACTTTGCTGGAGGGGACAAGTCTGAGCAGCGGAGACTGTGTGGTAAAAGTGAGGGCTGCTCCCATCATTCACTGAGACGAAGACAGTGTTCTATCTCAGGAATTTTGGCCAGTTAACCCCAATAAAGGCCCATAAGATGATATTAACTGTGGGCTGGGGTTAGCTTTCTAAGGCTGATTTCAATAAAGGAGTTAATATCAAGAGGCAAAACTGTATGTAGTGCATTGGCATTAGACAAATTGTACCACCTCCTGAGGCATAGACATTTCAAATTGGGGGACAGTTGAAGAAGCACAACAGAGGATTAATAAACTATATGGTCAAATGAATTGTCATGTTGCCAAATGTGGCTTTCATTCATAGGTGTGCTGTATAATTTGTAAAAGCAATGAAGTCGTAGAGATAAAAACCTGATAGCAGTGCAGTGGGAAAACAGATTCCTAAATCAGAGAAAAATCAAATTTTTCCCAGTTTTGGTGGGGGAGGGCTACTCAATTAATTTCATGATGAAGTTATAAAAAAATATTACAATTTGGCTCTCCAGCATCCACCATGGTGCTAAGTTACCATGCAAATTTTGCTCTTCCAATCCAAGATGAGAAGCTGAAATTTCCTTCCATAGATAGTTCTTCTCACAGCACTTTGCACTGTTTCTTGGAAAATTGTTTAATTGAAAGACAAATTCCTTTTTTCAGAGACTGGTAATTAAAGATGCTTCTAGAACACTAAGTACACAGTGGAATTTACTCTGCAGAAGTTTTTAAGGCAACCTCATACACAAGGGAAAAAATTGCTCCGTCATTTGGCATACTATGAAAAGAATTTACAACATCCACAAGTCACAAGATGCTTAGTCTTGGGAGTAAAGGTAAGACCATTTTCTTACATAAACGAAGCTTCCTGAAGTAGCATGGAAAAGAATTTACAGCACCTTACGGTCACGGGGTGACATCGTAGTCATGCCCCGGGGGAAGGCATGACTAGGGGCCTCACAGAGGAAACGCCTGCTGGATAGCCTGCTCTACAGCTAGCTGCCCAACCAGGGGCTAGCTGTTACCATTGCTTCACACTGGTGTTGGGACAGGAGCAGGCCACACTCTCATCTGTCCCAGGACTGAATTGCAGGAGCTACTGGCTGCTCACTGCAACTCTGTCTTCTCTTTTTCTCTTTTTAACAAAAGGTTTGAGAACCAGGATAAGAGGCTCAGGAGCTGGGTGCTGGGAAATGGCAGGAACTCCACAGAGGGTCCCCTGCCCTCTGCCCTGATTCCTGCAGGGATGGGCTCCATGGCCAATCCTTTTCCTGCTCCTTCATTTCAGGGACTTTTATTTTCCCTTCCGCAATCAGCTTTGCATCTTCTTTTATTTTTCACTTCTAAGTTTTGTTTTAGAGGTCTAGTTGATAATTAAATCAAAAGCTGATCTAAGTGGTTTTTAAAACATGAAGATTCAATAGAGAAACTATCATTATAAAATATGCATTTCTCTTGCATTGCCAAAGTCTGCCACCACCTTTCAACATAATTATCAGAAAGTAGATTCCCGATGAAAGGTAAAAAGAAGAACAAATATTAGCCTCATCAGAGTATTTTTCTGTTTGCGTTACCTTTATGTTTCCTGTTGGCATTGGTGGTCAAGACAACAACAACGACAACAAACATCAAGGCCTCACATTGCTCGCCATTCAGTTACCCTGTGTTTCTCAGGGAGTATTTTCCTCATGCTGCATGAAACATCACTGGATGACACAGCCTTGTGCTGAGTTGTGTTTTTGTTTTTTTATCTTTGTTTAATTTCTTTTGTTACAGTGCTATATAATTACCGATTAATTGGCTCTGCAAATTCAGATCCTTGTAATTAAACTCAAAGAGATAACACACAAAGTAGAATTTGTTACACTTTGAGAAGGCTGTTGCAGAGGTCTGGTAGATTTAGGGTTGTTGAGGAGAAAAAAACCCCCCTCATTCCAGATGATAGTAAATGTTTTCTCCTAATTGGAAATTGAATTTGAATCTACTGTTAAAGACTTTACCGATCGCATGTTTACAACAGGCTGAGACCTTTTCCAAATAATCTTCCTCCCACACCCGGTTGAGTATCACAGGATTTATTCAGGTTGACTTGACTTTGATGGATGAATAGGATTCTGGGATGGGAAAATCACATTCCAGGCAAGGAAGCGTGCAAGTCTTTGGCTTGCAAACAGCTTCGGAGTCCTGGTGGAGGATGCAGTGGGAAAGAAGAGGGGATGGAACCTGGGATGATGGTTCAGGAGCCTCATGTGCCTGGCTAGGTGGTTTCTTGTGTTTTTGTAAGCAGGGAGAGCCGTGAACATTCATGAACCCAGGAGAGAGAGAGATGATCAATCAGGATTCTAGAAACAGGCCAAAATGCAAACAGTAATGGAAAGCAAAAAACCCGAAGGGGGCTATGTAGCTATTTTTAGTTAAATCTTAAGTCAAACCCAAAGTACTAGACTAAGAGAAAACTCTTCCTCTATGAACAGAAAATATTTAGTCTGTGCGTACAGAACTCCCTTGATAGCAGCTAGGGATGCATCTTGGAAAAAAGAGAGTGCAGTCTCTGGAATGAGTAACATCATGTAGCTTCAAATCCACTCTGTCATGACTAGCTGTGTGACCTTGGGGAAGTTATTTAACCTCTCTGAGTTTTTGTTTCTTCATATGTAAAACGGGGATAAAAATAGACCTGTTGAGACAATTCAATGAGAAAACATACAGAGCTTTACCCACAGCCAGGGTTCCATGGATGTGAGCTCTTAACCTTTACATTCACAAATCCGTCCAGAGCATCTGTCCCGCAAGAAAGAGGGAGGCAGTACAAGACTCTCGCAGCTCTTCTTATTGGGTATCAGCACTGGCAAGATGTTGCTTTTCTTTTAGGGGGTGGGGGTGCTGTTGGAAGCATTGTTTTTCTTAAAGAACCAAACTGTCCCAACTTCACAGAAGTTACTATGTGAGAGGTGACCACCGGCACACAGAGAAGCAGCTGCCATATTCCTCACTGGGGCTTCACGGCGGTGCCTTGGGCAGGATCCAGATCATGACATCATGGCTCTGGAGGACTGTCCACAATAGCCAAAGCCTGAATGTGTCTACATTTTCTGTTCACAAGTTCCTGCTTTCAACTGTTACTCTAGAGAACTAGTTTTGTGCAAGGGGCTCTTCTGGATACTGGAAACAGAGTCTCAAAACCTGGTGGGGGTCTCGCGCCCTTGAGATCTATCTAGTCTATTGCAGAACCAGACCTTAATCAAACACACACAAATAAACATAAACCTATGGATGTGACAAATGTCAGGAAGGGTGGTAGGGACTCGATGAGGTCCTTTGCAGGTCCCCAGCTAAGGGAGCCTGGAAATGAGCACTGGCCTTGCGCAGCAGAGGGCAAGGAGGAGCTCTGGGTGGGCAGTGCCAGAGCTTGGGCCAGGCTGCCCTGAAAAGGAGCAGAAAGGCTCAGCTCAGTGTGCCATGCACTTGGACAAGGGACAGGCCCCGGAAGGCCTCTGCATGTTGCTGGGGGTTTTCATCCTTATCTTCTAGACCCTGAGGAGCACTGAACTATTTCAAACAGACTGGGCCTTGCAAAGGTCAGGTCAAGTTGGGGTGATGCTATCTGATTCGCCTTTCAAAAAGCTCACTCTGGCTCCCAGGTGTAGAATGAGTTTCTTGGGTTTGACAACTGACCTTTTATCTGTGGAACTGATTGCCTAGTGACCATGGCAGTGGGTTGTAGGATGACATCATCTGTGACACGGAGGCACTCAGGAGTCTGTACAGCATCAGTGGACATGGCCGCAGTCCCTAGTCTGTGCACGGGTGGGCGCTGCTGGTCTGGCCCTGAGTGCTAGGCTGTGGCCCGTGCTTACAAGGCAAGATATTGTTTATGTCACAAGAAGCTTTTTCTTCTTTTGAGTCACTTCATGCCTGAGTGCCATTTCTTTGGAGGATGTGTACACATACCATTTACCCGGCTACCCCACCAGCTAAGAGAGAAATGTTTTACAGGCCAGAATGCCATAAGAGACATTAATCTGCAATTAAATGCTGTAGTAACAAATGGAAATAAAAATGAATACATTCCTTAGGTTAGCACTAATCCAGTTTCCTCTGCAACTATCGAAATCTGCTGTCTAGACCCAGTTCAAATTACTTTGGAAACTTGTGGTAATCCTAAAACAAGGAATAAAGTCTGAAAGTAAAATCTCTTCTACTGGAAAGGCCAGAGTAACCATCCTCAATCTTGGAATTTTGGGAAAGTGGTTAAGCATAAAGAAACACTGTTTCCTTTCTGAAGGAATTTTGTAGCTAAAGTGGTCACTATTAA